TTTTTAAAATTTGAGTGTTGTTATTATGAAATATAGTGTAAAATATATAAAAATTCAATAACATGAATTGTCTAACTATTGATTAACTGTTGTCTAAATTCCAAGTTATGTCTAACTTGGAATGTTATGTCGAGTTATGAAAGATTAAAAATATCATCTTTTTAATCGTCTTTTTTTTTCATTTGCAAAAAAGAGACAAAGACGTTAGTATTGAGTGAATATTAAGTGAAAATTCAAGTATTTTAGCATAACGAACAATTTTTTATTTGAAAAAAGATATATATGAAAAAACTATAAAAGAAAAATAAATATGTAATAACTAAAAATTAACAGAAAATAAAATATTATGCAATAAACTAATATAAAAACAGTTATTAGTGAAAAGAAACATAGGAAACTAATTAAAAAAATGAAATCTAATTAAAAAATTATTTTATCTATTACATGTTATAAGGAAATATATTTTGAATATATTTTTATATATTACAATTTTTTTGCATTTTATATCTGAGAACTTACTATAAATTTATAAAAACCCACCATTTATAAAAACTTACTATAAATTTATATAAACCCCCATTTAATAATAATTATATTAAAAAACTTGTTTTATTAAAAACATTTGGTCTCTTTCGTATCAGAAATTGTTCTTCATTTAACAGATTATGATAAAATAATACAAAGAATCAGCTAAAATTTACTGATGTGAATTTGTATAATGATAATAATGACAAGAGAGAAAAAAAGCTTACACATCTTTAATATTTGGCCAACTCCAATCAAAAACGTATGTATATTTCGTACAATGGAATGAGACATGTGTTTTTAATTTTCATGAAACAAAATCTAATATCTAATTTTACATTTTGAACGATACAAAATTATTTTCATTTCTAATAAATAAAAATAAAATAAAATTCATTATATTATTTCTTTAGTTATCACAAAAGTCATTACATCATTGCAGGAAAAAAATGTAACGTAAAATAGAAATTTTAAAATGAAATTGTAAAACCAGTCATTTTGACTGGTGTGGTAGTTCTAGTGTTAATAATACCTAAGTCTGTGTTATATGACGCTCTATATTCTCTGTATTCGCGTCAATGACACGATTTGTTTGTTTTAACGTTATCGACATCATAAAAGTAGCATTGGCGACTGAGAGTCTCGGGATAAATGATATCGATATCGCGCAGGAATCATCATGCAAAAGACTACGTAAAACTACGTGTATTTTTTGTATCCATATCGCGATACAAGTTGCGTGAAATGGTCCTAAGAAATGTGATTACACCTCTGTTTCATTTAAATCCCACGCGCATGTATTTATGACTGATGTCTCAATTCGTTGAACGATCTATAGTATATTACATTACGAACTACACATTAATATTCTCTAATATGCAGTTCGAATTTTTTTTTACCAGAAATATATTCTGTTTTTTATTAATAATACTTGGTTTCGAATCTTTAGTATGGACAAACCATATTCATTCGACTTCACGACATTTCTCGTAGAATGCGTTAAAAAATGTATTGCACTTTGAACCTAAAATGAATTTAAAACATATAGAACTCTTTATTTGAACCAAATTGTAGTCAATTTTAGTCGATTAAACGAGTCTTCGAACCTGAGCTTCTATTAAATGAGTGAAAAATCATTAGTAGAAAAAAGAATGAGTAAACTTCCATTACAGTACAACTTTGTTTATCCAAATATATCGAAGGACAAAACCGTTCAAATAATTGAGTACATAGTTCGGATAATAAAGACTCACTAACTGCTCTTACTTATTTGGATAATGATAACAACAATTATCCAGTTTCTACGAACAAGATAAATGAGGGTCTATTGTATATGAATTCCAAAAATATTGGTCTTTAGATAACATAATTCATAGAAAGAAAATCCTACTGCATTGTTTCCATGATGTAGGTGATTCATCAACTGTAAATAAACTGAGATCTTTCTACAAAATTAAAAGTAAATAGCCTTCTTAACTCTAATGATATTTAAAGAAAAACAAAGTTAAAATTCAGTTCAAGATTATACAAGATTGTAAAGGGAAAAATTCAAAAAATACAAAAAGTGTTGATATGTCAACCTTTATTCCTTTTGAAATCATTTAAAATTAGTTTCTTTATGTTTCTTTATATATAATTAGTTTCTATAACTTATAATTCGTAAATTTTATTTCTTGTATTATGCAATATGTAATAAGTTGTCCTGCTTTCCACAATATTTCTATTTCTTTTTATTATATTTTAATACATGTATAAAAACAAATTGTATCCTGCTTTCCACAACATTTCTATTTCTTTTTATTATATTTTAATACATGTATAAAAACAAATAAACTTTTTTAGAATACACAATTCTATATGTATTATCAAATTTTTAAACTCTTTAATATTATTAACTTTAATATTATCTCATAAAAATTGTAAATATCTCTATTTATAAATAATATTTTTATATTTTTGTGCTAATATTGTTATACTGATGCATATAAAATGAATTACGCGTTATAAACAAAAAATATACTGATGCATATAAAATGAATTACGCGTTATAAACAAAAAATATACTGATGCATATAAAATGAATTACGCGTTATAAACAAAAAATTTATAACAAATGCATCTATCGTTTAAATTTAATTACACAGCATCATTTGGAACTATTCATATTTCATTTAGGCGTTATTAAAGAAGTTTTTGATATATCAGAGCGTTTTCTTTATTAATTATTTTAAAAAAATTACGAAAAAAAACAAATTATTAAAGCAATTTTTTATGACAGCATTGGATTCATTCGACTATTTTGCTATACAAAATAATAGAAATATAACTTTAAAAAAGTGCAAGTGACCTTTATTTAAAAAAAAATTTATAGTCAGTTCTACATGATACTTGTAACTTGACAATTCATATTAACTTTTGTTTTTTAATCAAATTATTAAAAATGTCTAAAAAATCGTGACGATTGTGCCAGTTTTATATATTTTTTAATTCATAATGTATACAGTGACTCGTATTAATATTTAGACACTAAATATTAAAACTGTAATAATTTTATAAAAAGAAATCGTATAATACTAAACTTGGGCTCATTTTAAAATTTGAAGCCTCTACATTTAAAACACATCGTCCATTTTATTCGAGGATATTTTTACACTACGTGATGATAAGTGAAGATACTTTTCTTCTTGAAAATGCTATAAATTGTTATAATATGTAAAAACATTGAAAAATTTTTTTTCATAACTGAATTTGAAGATTGAAGTCTGCCTTTACAATGATCCCTCAAAATTTATATGATTTTTTTCACCTAACTCATTAAACATTGAATACCAGGCGAAAACAAATATAACTAAATATAATTTCTTGAATTTTGTCTAAACTTAATATTAAAAAATTATACACCAAGCTTTTGAAGGTTGTTGTAAAGAAAAGGCTTCAATCTTCGAATCCATTATGGATTCAATCATGAAAAAAATTTTTTAATGTTTTCACAAGTTTTATAGCATTTTTAAGAAAAAAAGTGTCTTCACTTTATAATCTGACGTAATGTAAAAAAATCTTAGAATAAAATGAATGATACATTTTGGATATGTTTAGCGGCTTCAAATTTTAAAATGAGCCCAAGTTTAGTATTATACGATTTCTTTTTACAAAACTATCATAGTTTCAATACTTAGTATCTGAATATTAATCACTGTACATGTTTCTATTCAGTTAAATTTGTCATTATATTATTCATTGTATTTATAGACTACTATTTACATTAATTACAATATGCATTTATAAACTAAGCATATTTATTTCAAATATGTATATCAATGTTCAAACTTCTATTCTTAAATTAATTTTATATAAAATATAAGTTATAATAATTTGTATTTCTGTATTCTATATTTATATATTAAAATCTTATGTATTATCACGTCAGTATTTAAAAAGAAGAGGCTATATTAATAGCATTTAAACTTATTTGTATATGCATTTATTAATTAATCTTAATGTACCATGTGATAAGGTATAATTTGTAAATTATAATTTACAAATACTTTTCTGAAAAGTCACATCATTTAATGTCAGAATATATTTATTTAATTTTACATATATTTTAAAGTATCTTTTAAGATTTTGGAAATTAGATTATACATATTCTTCGAGAATTATACAATACAAATTTTTAATTCTATCGCACTAGAATGTTTATAATATTTTTATTAACTGTTTCCTAATTTCTTGTACAACATATAGGTAAATATATATCAATATATTATTTTTATTTTTATATAAATAAATGAATTTATTTTATAAATCATATTTCAATTTGTTTGTACAATTTGCTAACTGCAAAATATAAATTAATATAAATCATTTCGAAAGAGAAATAATTGGTAATTAAGATACAACCTTTTTTATATAATAAGTTTTTCTATATAAATTTTATATATGATGAATTTTGGTAAGATTATAAGGTCGTAAGAAATATTTTTCGAAAATTTATAGATTTTATAAAAAATTAAAAATTATAAATATTTGAAATTTCTCTCTTTCTCTCTCTTTCTCTTTTGCCCTGCTTCTCTCATTCGTTTACGCACATACATACATGTACAGTGTATAATAATATGCCCTTAAAAGAAATTATATGCATTGTTGCAATTGAAAATTGAGAAAAATATTATATTACATCTTCTTTGCGTTATATTTTACAGTATTGTATATGTAAACTAAATTATTAAATTTGGTTGAAACAAAAGATATAAATAATTAATCAATAATTATTGTACTGATATTGTGTAATTAGATAAAATATAAAAAATGTATATTTCATGTAAAAAATAGATTACATTGATGATATATAAATTTTAATGCTTTGGGCATAAAAATATCTATATGAAAAATACATAAAAACTATATATCATCTTTGTTTTCTCTTATAAGGGCATGATTTTATGAATAACTTATTGCACATAAAAATTAATGAACAATACGCTGTGCATATAAACTTAATCTTAATACATGTTCAAAATATGTTTTTCCAATTATAACTAAATATTTGTAAATTATTAGTTATAAATGTTATACATTTCATAATTTTTCAGAATACTAGAATAGTATATATATTATGTATTATACATAATATCATAATTCCTTTCTATTAATTTATCGAATACTAGTAAAAAGATTTAATACAGACTTGTTTTCTTTTTGACTACGTGCTTTGCTGAACACATTCCAAAATCGCAAGGTTTCATCTCCAGCACCAGTTACGATAGCTTCACCATCTGGTGACATTGCTAAATATAAAACTCTGTACGAATGTCCTGTTAATTTTGCAACTTGAGTCAGACTGGGATATTTCCACACCAAAATTTGGTTTTGAGAATAACCATGTGTACTGACTAACTCTGAACTATGCTTACTCCAAGCCAAATTACAAACTTGAGAACCCGTATCTACACATTGCATTGGTTGGCCAGTTAACGTATTCCAAAATCTAATGCATCTATCAGCTGTACCACCACCAGAAGCCAAAAGGCCATGATGATGTGGTGACCATGCAATAGCTTTAACGGCTGCTAAATGTTCTGTGTATGTTTGAATAGGTGACAGAGAATGTAAATTCCATACATAAAGACGATTGTCATTTCCACCAGAAGCTAAGTATTGATTGTCGGGAGACCATTTTAGTCCACATACTTCCTGTCTGTGAGCTCCTAAACGTCTTTCACTCACAACACAAGGAGTTCTAACATCTCTTTGCAATATTAACCTATCTCTGCTACCAGATGATAAAATTTCACCGTTCCAAGCTAATGCTCCAACCCTTGCATTATGCCCTTGTAATTTGCTTACTTGTTTGCTCATAGCTACATCCCATACTTGAATATAGCCCAAATGCGTTCCAACTGCAACTAAATTTCCTCTTTCATTCCAAGCAACTGATGTTACACTATTGCCATCACTGGATAAATCACACAATCTAGTCACCTGACTGGTACACGCAGACCATAAATATACACAGCTACCTAGGCCAACACTGAGAACATTCTGAGAGGACCAATCAACAAGATTTAAGTAAAAATCATCCTGCAATTCAGGAGCATCCAATACTTTAAAAGGTATTCTAGAAATTTTCCTTGTCGCTTTCCTGGGAGATCTTAAAAGTTTCTGACTTTTGGCACTCAAGGGTGATAAAGAATAAGGTGAACTTTGGTCTGACACTGCATGATCTTTTGTAGGTGTAATGTACTTGAAGAGATTTCTGGTCACTACCGGTGATAATATTCTTCGTTCTTCACATTGTCCTTTCACATCTTCTATGCTTGCTCCAAGTAATTCGTTTTTTAATAGACATGAATAAGCAATACCATCGCGATTACTTTCACCATTCTCACGAGTTTTCTTCGTGACTATACCATTTCGATTATTTTCCGATATCATTGAAAATGTTGTTTGATAATTATTACCAGATCGTGTTGGTATAAATCTATCGAAGCTATTATTCATTATTTTAATCGGCGAAAAATACACTGACGAGTGAAGTCTAGAACTGGCTAAATTATCTATGTGGCTCTCGCTGTTTGATTTCAATAGTCGTTTCTCGTATTCGTGATGAAACATTTTTTTTTAATGTTGCTTGTTCACAATTCAGTCACATAATTATACAACATACACCTTTGTTTTCTATTAGATCACGTAGATTATACATTTATTGTCATTTGTCGTGAAAAACACTGTATTAATGAAACAAAGCAAATTGTCTCATTGAATCTCTATTCAACGTCAACTTGGAAAATTTTTGATATGGAAATAAAGAGGTTGAACGTGATTCTCCAATCGAAATGCTTAGTTCAAAGCATTATGTTTGGAAACAGACGGGCAAACGACTGTGAAAAATTGTTACACTTATCCACCTAGCGTCGTACTAATAAAGTTACAGTGAAATGCTGCTTTTACACAGTATTTGCAGTAATTTTAAAAATAAGAAACATACGTCATTTATTGTTAGTAATAGTATATGTTTTCATTACTGTCAGTTTCAAATTTTATATGGTATAGTATGTTCGGCGAGAGAAACAAAAATCCAATATACCATATTTACTTTTATGCTATAATAATATAAATCAATAATGTTAAACAATGTTTTAACATTGGTTTTAGAAATTATTGTTTTAGATTTTTATTTTTGAAATTAAAAATCGAAAGTTTTACAGTTATTATATATAATAATAAAAACTAAATGACATTTATACTATATGAAGTACGGTTAATATATAAAACATTTTTGTATATTTTATACAAGAAAATGAACATTTTTGTATATTTTATACAAGAATATTTATATACGTATGACATGATATATATGTATGTACTTAAAGAGTAATTTTTTCAGTTCTTTTTTTTTCATATTTATATTGTACGTATATGTGTATTATAATTGCATGTTTTTATATTATTTTGTATAGTTGCATATATCGATAATTAAATAGTGAATAATATTTTGTATTATAAATATTTTGTATTATAAATATTTTAATATTATAATATTATAATTATGAATATACGTGAAATTTCTATAATTTAAGAAAGATGTTAAACTTATCTAGAAATATAAGATATATATACGCATGTGTCGAAATTGATGTATATATATCTGCATACATGTATATATTATACGTATATATATGTTGTATATTGTATAATCGCACAATTTTCGAATCAGTTATTAAGGTATGTTGCACGATTCTTCTACGTAGATATTATTTACAGTCATGAGACTGTAAATAAAATTTTTAAACTTTATTTAACAAGTCAAATTAACATTGTAAAATAATGGTAAAGAACTTTATTTTCAAAATGTTATACATGCACTAACCTCAATATCCAATTTACAACTTACATAAGTTGCGCAACTTAAAAAAGATAAAAGATAAAATGAGTTATTATCATAAAAATATTTTTGTTTTTGTATTTTAAGTATAATATAAAATGCGATTGGTGCTTTATATAAAAAATTTTATTTTATAATTAGAACTTGAGAAACATTTCTCTAAGAAAAACAATTTGTTCAATAATTTTCATCATATTGAGTGCATCATATCATTATTATGCGATTGTTTGTAAAATTCTATTTATCAAATATTGTTGATTAACTATTAAACCACCGATTAATAGTTGGTGATTTTGCGAAGTGGAAAAGCAAAGAACATGGGAATATTCTATAAATTTATGATTTTTGTTTACAAACAATACAAAAAACAATATTTTGGATCAAAAATGATATAGTTTTTCCATCAGACTTTGCAACATGTTTGGAAGTATTTTGAGCAAGAAATAGTATATTGTATATATTCTAAGTTGATAAGTCTTTTGAGCTATGAAAGGAAATGTAATATAAGCCATAGATAATTAGATACATTGAAATGATTTAACTTTTAATGATTATCGAAAGTATATTTCAGTAGAAAAACCTAATACTTGTAATGAATTGATAGAAAAAATCAAAGAGGCTGCTAATATTATCAATAACAATCTTGCTAATATGCAGTGGATGAGATCTATAAATGTTTATTTGTGTGTATATTAGAGATAAAAGGTGACGATTTTGAATAATTTGTATAAACCAGTTTGAACCAGTAAAAATAATTATTAAAAGTTAAGTAATTTCAGTATATTTGATTGCTTATGGCATTACATTTCCTTTCATATCATAATTTAAATTTAAAAGATAAAATTATTCTTCTAAATTCAGCTCTCAGAGAACTAATTGTAAATTGAAAATAGAGAAATAATTTTTTAATAAAAATGGAATATTTTTTGATATATTAGTAAAAAATGTTTCAATTAACAAAAATTTGCAGAAATATTTAAAAAAATACAATATTATTTATACAGTATTAAAATTTGTAATCTATAAACCCCTATATTTGTTTGAAAAGTAGTTGTACAGCTTTTTGCTTAGGCTCATTTTAAAAAACAAAATCTCTATTTTCAGAATTCACCTTCAAATTCTTCGCTTGTAAAATTTCTATATCATGTAACAGGTGAAAAAATGAATATATTTTTTCTTCTCGAAAATTTTGTAACTTCAAAGGACATTAGAAAATTTTCAAGAATGAATCCTCCATAGATTTGAAGATTGGGGTTTCTCTTTTACAATAATCTTTCAAAAGTTAGTGTACTATTTTTTTACCATTTTATATTTTTAAATGAAAAGTACGCTACTGACGTTAGAATAATCTAAAATACACCATGAGGAGTTTATACGATCGGATTTGCATTTCATTTGTATATGTTTAGTGTATGTTTAGTGAATCTTGTATGTGTGTGTATGTACATATATGTGTGTTAGTAATCAGTGCGTTAGTAATCTATCAATGAGTATTATCTCTTTGTTGTCATAACTTTGACTCTCTTATATTGATACAATATCATATTGTGCACTCGTTGAAAGATGCTGTTTTGAAATCGCTGAACTGCATCTTCCAATACATTCAGTATTACAGAATCACTAACTTCGATATAATTTATCAATTACTTTATGTAAAAATTTGTTATTATTATAGAAAAATTTGTTTTTACGGCAAATATTGGCGTAATATATAGTTAAAGTAGAGCGAAATAAGTAGGATTTTATTGTATAAGAAAAAATTATTCATAGTATTGGACAATTCTACAACGTATTTAAGAACTACCGAATTCGTTCATTTCTTAAATAATTAATTTGAAATTTAATTGAAAATATATATTTCATAATCATAGAGTGACAAATTTTATTGTTTGTAGTTTCATAACACATAACTAGTTAAATTATTAAAAAATCAATTCACACAAAAATCAATTCACACAAGTAACGCAGATATTGCTTCATTGAAGCAGTTTTAAGGATAAGCAAGGATAAAAGTTTATATCAACATATTTAGATGAATTTGTCACGAAACTAACTATACACCTATATCAATGAAAACATAATTTCATTGAAAAAAATTGCCTTGAAATTTCAAAAGCATATTTATCTAAATAAGATTTGTAACTATCGCAGGTAATAAAGTAAATTTTGAAATATTTTCTTCAATTACGAATAGTTTAAAATGGAAGACAATAGTAATGTAGTTCACTTAAAATAAGATATAAACCTACAAACTGCGAGAATTACAAATTACTTTCCTGTACATTAAAATATTTTAAATTTCTTTTAAGGAAATTTAATTAGCTAAAGGTACTAATTCAGCAAAGAACAGTATTCATATTAATAATAAATTTATTTATTTCATTGTTACATTCTCTCTATTTTAATTCTCAAAAAATGGTTTTTTTAATATAGTTCCTGAAATATTAATATTTATGAATTAAATTTGATCACTCTGTATTTTAGATACTTATTACAACATATATTTAAATGTTTAAACATTTAATCATAAATTAATAATTTAATTTCAGGTACAAATTTCTAGAAAAGATGGGAGGTCATGGCCATGGTCATGAACCAGGATTGAAAATACCAAGCCCCGATATATATAAAGTAGAAGATGTGCCAGAACTTAAAATGGTTCAAGAAAAACTAGCTAAACTTGGGTTGAAAGACCCTTGGTTAAGAAATGAAGTTTGGCGTTATACAGCATTGTCTGGTACACATACTGTACGAGTAATTAAAGGACTTACTAGGGGTATGGTACTTGGGTTTGCAGCATTTTTAGTAACGTTGGGTGTAGAACATACTTTTGGGATTACTTACAAAGGAGAACATCATGGTGATGGTGACCATCATTAATGTTGCATAAAAACATATTTAGTACATATAAGAAAATTAAATAGCGTTATTAATATTATATGTACTATAGCTTTAGAAATAAATTATCATTTGAGTTACAAATGTGTTTTTGAAGTAATTAATTCTTTTACTACTTTTAATAAATATACAATGTTCTTATTTATAGTATCTTGTATATAAAAATATTTTTATCTATCTATTACACATGACATGTTGCAATTTTTCGTCCATGCAAATTGTATAAATGATAATTATTATATATTAATATAAATCTATCAAATTATCACACAATTTTTAAAATTATACTGCAAGTATGAATTACATAAAATATAACTTATCTAATAATGTATGCTTATTTAAATTTCTTTTTCCATTTTGTTTTACTATTACAGTTAGCAGCATTGATATTAACACTGTAATTATAATAGCTAATGTACAATCGTTACACAGCACAATAATGAAAGTAAATATTGAAATTTCAAATGTTGCAAATAACCACTCATTTCCATATAATAATGTTTGATTGAAAGAATAATTATTATCTGCAAAAGAATGATATATGTAAATTATAATTAAAGTTATTTTCTTTTTTCTCTTAAAAAGACATTACCAATATAGAAAATTGATTTCTCTTTATTACGAGAAAGTATAATATTAAATACTTTTTCAAAGAAATGTTGTTCTTTAATGGCATAGTCTTCGTCTGTTATGCAATGATCTATATATTTATATAAGTATTCTTTTATTTTCAATTGACTATTAAAAACATATTCCCAATTTATCGTAGAAGAATAGTAAGTTTTTATAAAATTATTTCGTTCCTAAGAGAAAATAAGAAAATATCAATTCATAAAATAAATTTTTAAAATATCAAAATTATTTTATACGTACGATCTTCATCAGTTCTAAACTTTTGTTAAAACTAACTCTGAAACTTTCTGTTAAGTATAAAATAAAAGTTTGTTGAGTTGTTCCTGGTATAAGACCTTTATGTGCGCATAAATTACTTTTCTCCATTTGAAATCCATTAATTAAAGTTGGTAAGTCTGTGTCTGCAAATCCATGCACTGATCTGTTGTAAAATATTGAAAATATTTACAAGCATTTTTTTTCAACCATTTTATTTTTTATGTAATGTAATCATATATATTACCTTCCATGAATATAAAAACCATAATAATTAAATGGTAAAATAAATAAACTGATATTTGCAATTGAACATAGATTTATAAATTCTTGCATTTTATTTGTGACACATTGTTCATAGAATATAACGAACACTAACCACTGCATACAATAAGTTAAAATATATATCAAGACACATATTGTGAAATATAAAATAAAATTATAATCCTCAGAAAATGTATATATTCCAAAAATCCATGGATACAGTCGTATAATCTATTTAAAATGTATAATTTAGTTCTAATTATTCAATTTCTTTTTTTTTTTTACTGTTTTATAAAAAATATACATAAAAATTTACCTGGAAAATACATAAAACTGCAAGTAATTGTATCTTTATATTTATTTTTCTTTTCGTTTGAAGATTTAACCATTGACTTGCGATAAAGCATGTCCTCCATATACTAATAGGTGCATTATCAAATTTACTATTCTTATTTATTATTTGGGCAGACATTTTTGATATTGAATTTGTAGTTGAAATATTAGTTTTCTCTTTGTTATTCAGATATTTATTGAAGTTTTTAGAATTATTATACTTATTTAACTCACACGCAATTTTTTTGCGTTTAGCTGTTATTATTTCTGATGACATTTGAAACTGTTTAAATTTACTTCTTGAAAGTTTATCAATATAAAATTCATTTATAGACATATATGGAAGATCATGTTTACATTGATTGTATGTTGTTTTTGGTTGTTCCCAATCAATAAAGAATATATCAATATTCCAATATTGACAAATAAATCCAAACATTTCTATAAGCTAAATTGAAAATTAATAAGATTGAAATAATTAAACTAATTAAATGCAATTAATTATATACTCATATTTTATGTTTAAAGACTTACTTTAGAAAAGAATGCTGTTGCAGTGAATATTTTTATTACTTTTTCATTGATATCTTCAGAAAAAAGGATATATGGTATTGTTTCTTCTTTATAAAATGTAAATAGATATAAGCATAAAATAACCAAACATAAAATAATTATGCTTCCTATGGTATTCATAGTATAAATAAAAAACCAAATAAATACAAATATATTAATAAATGAAGTATGGTGACGTTTACTGTAGTTCCATGTTTTTATTCCAGATAAAATTAAAATTAATCCTGATAAAATCCCAATAATTATCTAGGAACATATAGTATGTATATAAAATATATTTCTTTATTATTTTCTTTTTATTATTATTTTATATTTTTACCATAAAATATGAATCAATATTGTCATCTTTTAGAGTAAATTTAATTTTGTAATCTAACGTAACTTCTGTAACTTTATCAATCTGTTCATATGTTAATTCAGCATATTCAATAATTAACAAAGGAGGAAATATTTTATTTTTATCCTTTGTATTTTGAATATTAATTCTGTAAAAATTATTATAATATAAATTTGTTAATTTGGTACATAATTTGTTTAATACAATCAAACAGACAATAAAAACCAATTAAAGAACTCACATTATGTTTAGAGATTTCATATAACGTAACACAGATAACTCATCATCCTTGTTATTTGTGAAATTTGATAATCTTTTAAAACCACTGACATTATCGACAAAAAAAAATTTGCGAACTAACTGCCAATCTAATTCATTATTGTTCTATAAAATAATTAAAATTATATATTTTATATTTTAAAGCATTTTTATAAAATAACATTTGAAGCACTAGTTAAAATTTTACGCAAATATTTATATTTAAATTTATTAATTATTTCATAATTGATATTCTTACCTGATTTATATTTTTAATGAGTACAGGTAATGCATACATTAAACTAATATTGTTTTCTGTAAATGTTAAATAAGGAGACATAAATTCTATTTTTGTTTGAGCTAAATTTTTAACTGTAATTTTACATTTTTTTTCAAAATTAATACCAAAATTAACATGTTCCAACAAATTACATGGAATATTAGGTGTACCAATTGATTTAAAATATCCATGTAAAGAAAATGTTGTAACTGTAAAATTTAATATATTATCCTAAAAAAATTAATAATTTATATTACCAAATATTCTTCTATATTTAAATAAATTATTATAAATACATATATGTTACATACGTTATTATTCTTCATCAAGCTATAATTTTGTGTAATTTGTTTACTGTTTAATACAGTTTTAGTGTCATTTTTATTATAAAATAACCATATAGGTGATTTTTGTTTTTGCATAAAGAACTTACAAGCAATATCATTAGCATAAATGCTCAAGACACATATATTTGATAAATGTTCACATGCCAATTTATCTTTTTTCTAAAAATATGTGTATATCATTATTATCTCTTTACTCTTATATCTTTATTCATATATTCTCATATTTTTGTTTACTCTCTTACCTTACAAAAATATATAGCAGTTTGAAGTTCATTTCTAAAATAATAACTATCTATGTTTTTATTCTTAAACTTCACTTGAAATGCAGTTTTTGGATTCTCTTTATCAAAATAAATATTTTTGTGCAAACAATAATTCTGTATTTGTATATAATGGTACTTTGTTAAATATATATCGTTTTCATAATAATTATATTCAAAATTTTTACAAGGTAAGCATTTAGATCCATCCAAAAATGGATAAGTATTATTAGGACATGGAATGCAATACATAGCATCTAGTAAAGTTCCATCTAAACTTCTATCTACTATAAAATGATTTGAATATGATTTAAAATAATATACATAATATGTCATAAATTAACGTTTTAATTATTACCTTGTATTTCATTAGAGGCACATTTACACAATGTATTGTTACATGGTACACAATCGTTTCCATCTGAAGTTACTGTAGTGTTAATACCACAGAATACACATACAGGATAACCATTTTTGAAATCAATTTTTTTACTAAAGTCATCACATATACATCGTAATCCTATAGATGCAATGATTTAAGTATTTGTATATAACATTAGAAAAATTAATTTTATACTTACGATCGACAGATGGTTTTAAATTTTTATCAGGATCACACAATATGCAAGAAAGCGATATGGTATCAAAATATTCATTATTTTTACATTTCGATGGTTGAGAAAATTCAAATAATTCTTTGCCTAGAATAATTTGAATAAAATTTACTGAATAAATTAACAAATAGAAAAAGACATTATTTCTTATAAAGCAGCACATTTTGTATTCATACGATATTTCTATTTGTGTATGGTTTTCGTCTCTATGGTGACCAGTCATGAAAGTTTGTATACAAGTAATATTTGAGTTAAGAAAATGCACATTTGCATATTAGATGCAAGCATATTTTGTATTTGCATATGATTTTCGTTTCTATGATAATTAGCCATAAAAATTTATATTCAAATTAAGAAAATCTACAATAATATAAAATATTGAAAATATTAACATACACTGCTATTCAAAGATTATATATATATATATATATATATATATATATATATATATATATTCATGAAGTTTATATATGATATATGATATATATTATTATTATTGAACGATATTTATCACGAATACGACATTTTTTTATGAATATTTGTATGTATATAATGTATTATAATAATATTAAATTGAACAATTAAATTATTCAAAACTCTTAAATAAATAAATATTTATTTGGTGCATTTAATATTGCCAAAAAGTTAAATGACAATTGTATAGCATCTGCTATCAAATACGAATCATTAATTTGCGGATATTTCAGCATGTGCTTCTTTTATAATTATATTAGCAAGATTGTTATTGATGGCAGTTTTTAACAGCAGTTTTTCTGATTTTTGCTATTAATTTGTTTATGTTTTTCCAATATATCTTCATCCAATATATCTTCACCATCCAATATATCTTCAATTTTATGCAACACCATACAAAAAAAATTACATGCAAATTTCAATTATAGAAATAATACCATTATATTGATTAGTATTATCACCATTTTATTGATTTTTATTAGAAATATCAGCTAAGAAAATATTGAGATGTCTTCAATGTCTTGAATTTTTGTTCTTTAACTCTAATATTTGATATTCAATAAAACGATGAAAAAACATCGTACAAGGTTTAAGGGGAGATTTCAATCTTCAAAATAATAGTCAATTTAGTTATGAAAAAAAATTTTAGTTTTTTTAACATTTTTACACATGTTTGAATTTTTACAATTCTCAAGAAAGAAGTATCCACCCGTTATATGATATAAAGTCATCCGTGAAGAAAACAAACTTACGACTGTCAAAATAGAAGCTTCGTGTTTTAAAATAAGACAATCTATTTTTTATATCAACTTATATTTAAATTATCAACAATTTTTTATTGTCGGTACAATTATGTTCTTTGCTCCACTTCATCACAGAAAAAAATATCACTAATTCCAACATTAAAAGAAGAGTAATGTTATTTAGTGCTTGACATATATGATAATTTATATGATAATTTTGGATAAATAATTCATAATAAACATTACTTTTGTGAATGTAGCTCGTGATTTATAGTAACTAAACCAGGATACGATGTCAATGCTTTTATTTCAACATAACGTTATATTGATCAATACGTATTTAAGCTTTTAATAGCTGTAAATTTATATATAAACAGAACTTAGAATAACGGCCATACAATGCAAAGTATATATTCTTACATTCAATTATATCAGAAACAAAAGAACGAAGTTGCAAAACAACAGATTACTTCACAAGGATATAATAAGTATGAAATATCAAAATATGAAATATGAAAATTGAATATGAAACATATAAAACAAGTTCAAAGATATAAAACAATTAGAAAAAAACAGAATTATTTATTTAAGTGTGTGTGTATGTGTGTGCATGTTTGCATCCTTGAACAAATATTGAATATAATATTAATATGATGGTGTTAAATAAAAGTGAGAAAACGTTGATGACAAGATCATCATTTTCATCTCATCTTTTAAGAAAAAAGGCGAATAGAAAATATAGTACAATGTAGTATTCATTTTTAATGTATTTTAAAATAATAGGAAAAGAAACTATCATTTTCTTAAATGATTTAAGAAAAAGAAAAAGAAAATTAATAACACAGAAAATTACTGAATGATAGTGAATATAATTTGACATTTATCGTTTAAAGTTTCCTATGCCTTTATATATTCAGGGTTATAGATAATCATCTACACTATAAACATTTTAATATACTTATACTGTAACTTCCATTGCGTGTAACAGAATTTTCTTCACTTTGAGCTTTAAATTTTAAACAAATGAATTCGTACGAGGACAAAGATCGTTCGATACAGAGTCGTAAAATTGGCTAATGATTAGTAAATTGATCATTGTCTTGCGTGATGATAATGATTACAGTAGTTCAGGTGCCAAGAATCCACCTCTCTTCCCTCTATCCTCTCTTGAAGTCGTTACTTTGTCGTTGTCTTAGGGAGAGGGGCACTCTTCTTTTACTTAAGGGGAAGATCGGTGGGAAGGCGAGGATAATCTTATAAGCTAAAATAAAAGCGAAACAAAGCAAAGTCAGCGGGAGTATTTTTTTTCAGTCTGAAGAAGTGTCTAGTCGAGTGGCTATCTCTTCACAGGTATTGTCTCTTCGGATATTGTAACACTTGTTATTGTCGATATTATTACACTTAATAACTGAGATCATAAGTGAAGCAGTGAATAATTTATTGTGGGGGTTGTCCAAAAAGTGAAGAAGTCAACTAGAAAAATATAAGAAGAAATATAAGAAACATGGCATTTTTTTTTCAAGTGATACTGTCGTGATATTATCGAATGAATATTTTTAATGAATTCGAGCTTTAATATTAAAATAAAATTGACTGACAGACTGAATAATAACTAATAGCTTAGTGAAATATTGCTAGTTTAATAAAATTATAAAAACAAACTTACAAAAAGTTGAGTAATAGAATTTTTAACACACACTAATATTGGCCAGTTTTATTTGTAAGGTTCATATGTTACTAGTGAATAATTAGTATTATGGATTATCAAAAACTTGAATTTGGTTTTCTCTTACATGTATAATTATGATATAATACATATGGAAATTATATGATTGATGCAATTAGATTGTCGAATGTATAGAAATAAAGCGTTCTGTCATAATAAATAGGAATTGATGTCACAATCAAACAGTTTATTGTACTTTAAAGTGACCCGTTTTCATTCGTTAAATATATCTCATTAGCTAAATATATCAATCAAGAGAACTAGTGACGTCTGCTTAAAGATCAATAAGTATTAAAAATGTGTAAATGAATCTTTGAAACGAATATCATTTTACAAACTATCAATATTAGTCAGTCATACATTATGAATATTAATATGTTTATTAATATTTGATAAAATATATACTTGATAGTTCTTCTTTTAAAAATATCAAATCATTTTGATTATTTATTTATATACAACTACCTATCTAGCTACATGTATATGATTATATCTTATCGTAAATAAAAAAATAGAAAAAAAGAGCAAAAGATTTAGAAAAGAAATAGAGTAAAATTTTATGTTTTATTTCAGGCCCAGTTTACTTTTGATAGACGTGAGAAAATATGTGGGACGATGAACCAGCAGCATGGGATATTGAAGAAACCCCCGATGAACAACCTGCCGAAGGAGCTGCAGAAGGAGCTGCCGAAGGTGGTGAAGGTGGGCAAGCGCCTCAAGAAAAGCCAAAAATAGTATTACTAAAACTTGAACCACCGCACTATAATCACCATTGGGTTCGCCCTCTTTTCCTTAATTATAACTACCTTTATGAATACAGGTAAGGATTTTTAACATTTTTTTAAAATTATGGATAATTTTTATTAAATTATTCTTAAAATAATAATGATAGTAATAATAATATTTAATCATTTGAATATATTTAAAGTTCTTCTTACAAGTCTTAAAATATATATTTTTTTTAAATATTTTTTTAATATTTAATATTTCTCCCGTTTAAAATCAATAATTATCAATAATTTTTTAATTACCTTAAACATAAAATAAATTTTCATGAAGGATTTAAAGTTGACAAGTTTTAGTCGCATAAAAATTAAAAAGTGTCAATGATGACTATGACATTATCATATAATGTTATCACATTGTAGTATCATTTCATTATTATATTATATTAGTATATAATTAATATTATATACAATATTATATTATATTAGTATTATATTAATGATGATTATAACATATATGGTCATAAAAATAGCTACCTTTCTCCTTGTACAATTGAAGAAATTGCAATAATGATGAAGCATCTCCAGTGTTTAATCTTCAAATTTTTATATTTTAATCTTCAGCCAGTTTAGCAAACAAAAGGAATTTATAACGTTTTAGAAATATATTTAACATAAAGCTGAATTACAAAATGCATACAGCTATGTAAAATATTATTTTAATGTTTTACAATTTGTTTATATTAGTTCACTTTAATCATCAGGATTTATGATAAATATATAAATATATAAAATAGAGAATATTTTTTTACACGGATATTTATTATTTTATTAATTTTCTTTTATTGTAATTTTATTGTAATTGGTAAAAGATATTTTATAAGACTTACAAAGTGTTCTAATGTCCTATTACAAAACTTTCGGTTCCTTCTTTTTTCCAGAAAAAACTATTACGACGATGTTATTGATTATTTGAATCAAAGGCAGAAAGGTATATTCCGAGAGCCTCCTAGAGCACAAGAATGGGCAGAGCGAACAATGAGAACTTATGATCAGAAGAATACCGACAAGAGTTTCAAACGATCTGCAGATATGAAATATATAATTAATATGAGACACGATCCTAGACATTATAGTTATCATACTCGAGCATATTATAGTTTAAAGTATCAGAAAATTTTGTAAATTTATTTTTTGATAATATCAATGACATTATTAATGATATATCAACAGAATCATATGTGGCATAGATGTAAAATACATTACAGTCGTTTTAATCTATATGTAACTTATAGCTCTAAATTTTTAATAATACTAATTATTTATCCCAACTGCATGTCTACTTGTTGTACATACATATTTTATAAATTTTGTGCATTGAGTATTTTCTAAATGAATCTCCATATTATAAGAACAAAGTTCTCTAAGAAGAGTACTCAAGAGTACTCAAAGAAGATATTCTTCAATTAACAAGATTCATAATTTATATATTCAATTTTACAGAAAATTAATTTCAATTTCAAATTAAAATTGAAGCAAAAAAGAATTGTATGAAGATTTTATTGTTGAGTGTATGGACTGTATTGTAAACTTTGTAGAAAAAGTATAATTTTTGTCTATATGAAATAAAACCTCTTTCATTTTTCTTTTATATTAGCCTGTTTCATAGATCAAAACTGGCTCGTATCCCTCCTTATGGCGAACCATAGGGGAAGTATCCTCTCTATTTTATTCCGTCATTTCTTTTTTCTCTTTTTTTCACCTTTCTTGCTTCTTGTAGCAAAAATTAAGAATACCTTCACATCGACTTTTTTAACTAAAATGTGATAAAGAAAAAAATATAATGACAATTAATTGTTGAGAGCCCGGTCTAGTCGTGAATTATGGAAAACTGAATTATGAAAAAGAGATTATAGAAAAGTATTTTTCTATAAATTGACAAAGTTAAAAAATTACACTAGGTATATGTAATAATGAATCAATGAATAAAATTTTCACAATTGGACAAAGATTGTATCTGCAAAATTTTTGCAATATCTCGGAAATCACGATTTTTGAGTTGCATTATTTTCCTCGTAAGGATGCGATATTTCTTCGAAAGGCTGAAGTACCGATGTACTGCTTTATACAAAAAATGTACTTAAAAAGAAAAAGAAGCAATTGAAGTTTTATTACTACTGTGGCAAACTGACAAGTTTGATTTCTCTTTCTCAAACACTCGAGAAATCTATCATTTACATTTTAAGTCAAGAACTTTAATTTTCTTAGAAAAGGAATTTCCCTATATGTTTATTTCTTTGTATACTTGAGCGTTTTATTTTCTGTTTTATGGAGTATATTTTACGATATTTACTAAAATCACAACTCATAGAAGAAAATATTTTCTTCACGTGTTTTATTTAAATAGCACATATTAAATAATATGGGTACATTTTGATGACGTCATTATCATACAATAATATATATGTAACTTAAAATGTTTACTGGATTGTTTTCTTTAAAATGAGACAGTTTTCTTTTTATTTGAGAATTTCCTCTTCAGCGGTAGCAACGCAATGGTGTTTAATGGATTTGCAATTTCATTTGGTTCTATTATCGAGTTAATTTTGTCTCGCTTTGATTTTATTGGCTGTGGCATACACGACTCTATATCTACGTTAGGAACTTTTATGAATTTTATAGTTTTCGGGACTGGTTTCTCCGGCAGGCTTTCTATATTGGGGACTTTCTTTAATGTTACATCGTCATTGTTCTCTGAATTGTCAAATTTTGTTGCGTGTCGTTGAAAAGCAATGTCCGCTTGACCAAGGGTATTCCTGGCTTTCTCAATCTCGGCATTTAAGTCAATTACATCGAACAAACGATCCTGCAAAGATAAAATATATATTATTATTTGACTTGTAACATCAATTCTGTACTCTTATTAACAATCTAAACTCGCCAATTTGGATTCTGGTGTGTGCGTAAAATGATCCAAGGCAAAAATAATCGATTCATATCCAATTGCTCTTCAAGGATATGAAGTTAAAAAGGTTTTTTCTTTCTCTATTTTTTAATTTCTTTTTACGTTACTTTATTCATATGCATGTAGAAACTTTTCTGTATACATAATCTACGATAGCAAAATATATATACATATACCATTGAATTCAAAAGAAAATACCAGATATTTTTAATTATTATGAAATTTTTAAAATGATCAAGAATGAGGTAGAAAAAATTTTAAAAATGGAAACGAACTTTTTTCAAAATTTTGTTGAAGCAACTTGTTCTAATGTTCTACCATTAAATTTTCATTTGAAATATATTTTTCCATCTTATTGTTTTAGAAATTTTAAGCGAAAAAGTGGGAACGCACATGCTACTCCACTTCAGTAGCAGTTTTCGCATCTTTAAAGGTAATATATGTTTAAAAGGTAATATATGTTAGATGAGATTATTTCTGTCTTGGACCACTTTATGTACTCAGACCACTTTGGAAATATAAAATTTCCAAATCTCGCTTAATCCAAAGATCTGTAACCCATAATATATATTTATGCATATTGTATGTGTGTATGATACCTGCATATCCCTTCGTTTACGTCTCAAGTCAGCAAGATCATCTGCGAAAGCAGCAGCAGCTCGTTCTTTGTAACGTCGCTGAGCAACAACAAAATCATCTTCAAAATCGTCTTCGATTCCCCGGTCATACATATAATCCAAATCATCAAGGAAGTCATTGCGATATCCCAATGAATTGTGAGAACCTAAAGTATTAAATTTAATATTAAATTAAACTTGACAAATGACAACTTGACAAACAACTTATTTTATGACTAATTTATAGTTAAATAGCACATGTAGTATACAGTAGTAAATAATATACAATAGTAAAAAATTGTGAAGATAGTAAAATATTATGATAGTATATAATAGTAATTAAGTATTAAGTATATTAAGTAAATAATAATGGTATTGCTTAATAGTATATAATAGTAATTAAGTATTAAATAATTAAGTGTATAATAGTAATTAAGTATAGTATTAAAATATCATATAATAGTAAAAAATTGTGAAAATAGTATTTCAAACAACTGAAGTTGAAAAATATTTCATGGAGTTTGGATTGTCTATTTAGAAAGAAAGCAAGAAAGCAAGATGATTGAATGCCTTTTTTAGCATCTAAATGCTATCACTACCTTTTTTATTTAATATTAATTATAATTTCACACTTGTATTCTTCTTTCATCTTGAAGTACAAAGCCTCCATTCTGATAGTCCTGAGTTCGTTTTCTTCAAAGATGATTTTACATTATGCAGCAGGTGAAAAAGTGAGGATATCTTCTTGAAAATTGTAAACGTTCAAAAATTTGTAAAATATTGGGAAAATTCTTTTCGAGACTAGATTTATCTAATTATTTTGAATATTGAAGTCTCGATTACAGGGAGCTTCGAACGCTTAGAATTAAATAACGAAATGGGATTTTTTTAATTTTTTGTTTAACAATAAAGAGGAGATTTCAATCTTCAAGATGGTGAATCTAATTTAAAAAATTTCTTTTCACATTTTTAAAGACGTTTGAACTTTTACGATTTTCGAGAATAAAAGTATTCCTACTTTTCTCAATCACATGATCTAAAATTGGTTTTGAAAAAAAAGAATTCAGAATTTTCTATTAAGGTAGAAACTTTATGCTTTAATGTAAGATCGAGCAGATCATTATATGATTCCTTTTCACGAAATTATGATAGTTTTGTTATCGATTTTTTCATCGTTATTGCTTCAGTTATGCTTTTCACTCTAAGTATGCACATTTCAATACAATGTAATAATATTTTCTTTAGTCTATTCAGCACTATTAGTTTTCTTTTACTTTCTTTTACAATTTTTCTTTCCTTTTCTATAATATTATTTCTCATGGAACTATTCGTAAGAAAAATTTACACATAGCGAAATAAATTTACGGAGATCCCATGATTTAAAATAAGATAATAATAACAACATCTATGTTGCAGTTGACTAATTTCGACTAGACAGAAATGAACAACTGGCATTGTTAAATAATTTCAATATAGATACTTCAGAATAGAGTATAGAGACTCATTCGAATATTTAGTTCGAATCAAAGCTATTATACACGATAGATAAAGCGTATAATTATTTAAATAACTAACTTCGATCAATTTTCATCAAATATTAAGTTTGTAATATATATATATATTACAAATATATATATATACATATATATATATGTAATAAATATATATATATTTCATAGTTGTCAGACTAATTTTCAATACTAACCGCGAATATCAGTAGAATCGTGTTTGCGACATGTTCGTGACAGTTTTGACATTTATTTTTGTGGTTAGAAACTTTTGAGAGTAATTCTATCATTGTCCGATCATGTTCCAAGGACCGCAACTCTTTTTATAAATCGAAATGATGTTGTAAAAATGAAGAAAACTTAAGTTAAGGATAATTAAATTGAAAATTTACGATTATACGTGACAGAGAACTCTCCTGATACTCGTGGGAAAAAATTGAAACGGGAAACATTTATATCAAAAAGGGAACATTTTTTTGAATGGGTAGTCACACAACATGCAAGCAAGCTATGTGTTTAAGACACATTGGAACACAGTGGAATTTATTTACAAACAAGAAAGGGCGAAGATACATACAGTAACGTTAAGACAATATCTCTCTTTTTAAATCTTGATGATCCCGATGACGATAAGAGGACGAAATAAAACGAATTCTTTGTTTAATTTTACATACATAAATACTGTGCACCTTTATTTTACATAGAATTTGCGAAAAATATTAAATATCCAAAATAAGTTTCGTTTATTCCAACTCTGATTAGATCAATTGAAACTATACATGTCTCAATATTCATCGTTCGTTTTATTTAAAAAAAAAAGCATTAAAATGATTAATAAGTTGTGGAACAATTATTCAAAAAAGACGAAAAGATGAATATTCACATACAATTAGTAAAAGAATATTGAATTTTCAAGATTCATCTTCCGCCAGTGTATGATCATTTTAACTAACAAAATTTTATTGAAAATATGATTTCCTGATTCTCAATTACAACAAATAGGAAGTAATTGACAACTTGTCCTTCATCTTTTTAAAAATTACAGAAACATAAAACATCGAAATAATATCCAATAAAATTATATAATCTTTTTTCAATAATACTGCAGTAAAGTACAAATATGTAAAGTAAATTATATCTTCGCGTACTCACTGTTGTTGCATGCGTGCGTATGTATGTATGTGTGCACTTGTATTACGCGCATGTATCGATTTCAATCCTACAAAAAAAAATATATATATATATTATACAATTATAATTATATAATACATTTATAATTACATATAAGATAATATATATATATATATA